TAATAAAATACGATTTCGGGTAAAATTTAATACAAAACTCGCAAAAACCACCCCTCCAAAGAGGCCTTGCACTTCAATACTTCCTCGCCAGTAATGTGTCATTTTCGGGACTTTTATGTAAATAACTATTAACAATTTATTAGCGCAATGAAACTATGTTCTTAATATCTTAGGTCTTTAAAGATCTGACGGATAAAGAAACTTTATATAAAATGTTGGTTAACAAAGTTAGTCAGTTAGCGAGTAACATAACGTGTTTATAATGTTATTATATGACATTATATGAAATTGACCACTCCAACGGATCTGTAGGAAGCCAAATGTAAAGAAACATTTCCGTGTAATTATTCATGCAGATAACGAGTCGAGGGGTTGAATATCTAAAAAACCATATTACAAAGAAGACGAAAGCGGAATAAAAAGACGAAAGCGGAATAAAAATAAAAACCGAAACGACGTCATCGGCACAAAAAACAAAATACAAAGCATTAGCTAAAACTCAAACAACTTCCAACTAAGAAACTAATTTTAATGTTAAATCCCCCAGGAGAATATCTACGTTCGACGAATTGAGAAATTTCGAAACTCGAACTCCCTTAAGCTGGGGGCGATTTTCTACACTTAAAACTTGCGGAAAATACTTACAAAACTAATGAAATAATAATCTAAGCTAAATAATTTACAGTTGCATAAATAAGTGAAACTTTCGAAGCTCCCACCGCCGTTCTTTAGGTACGTTTTACAGCAAATACGTCGTATTCAACGGATACGCCTCGTTTATTAACGAGCCGTCTGTCCGTGTGCACGATATATTTGTTTAGAAAATTGATACACATGTAAAAGGTTGTTATTATTTTTTAACTTCGTGCCACCAAAAAAACACAAAGCAAAATAGAGACTTTACAACAGAAGAAAAATAAAAGTAGCTAAAACTTACGAAATAGAAACAAATCTTTCTAAATAAACTAGTAGAATTTACGCACAGTTTGCTTTCAAACCTCATATTCATTGTTACTTAAAACCAGGCGTAAAACTATTCAAAAGTAAAAAAAAGCGTAAAAAAAAAGAAAAGTGGCTAAGGAGGACCAGAATTACTATCTTTAGTAACTTTTCCGGTAACTTTTTGCGTAACTATCGGCCTCACCACCCTTTTAGTAACTTTTCTAGTGACTTTTTGTGTTAACGATAGGCATTACTACTCTTAGTAACTTTTTTAGATACTACCACTCGCCCCAATACATTATACACCAGATTTGCTCCCCACGTCGCCTTCACTTAAATTCGTAATTCGCAATTTTCGCCCTAAGAAACCCTTCAGAAAATGTACTTTTGAAATGGTAGCAATTGAGTTTTTAGGCAGATGCGCTTCTGGGATACTTTTTGGGGGAGAATTTCTCCAATATATAAATAAGAATTTTGATAAGAGGCAAGCGATCACTACGACTTTCCTTGGTGTAGATTCAAAATTTATTCACTATCTTTTGGCTCTATCTCTATCTCATTTTCTATCAGGTTTCGTAAAAATAAGTTTAATACAAATGTTGTTTGACAGCACATTTTTTCAAATTTGGTAGTATTATATGTTTATACAGGGTGTACTGGTATCTATTTTTTTAATTTTAAATATTCCCTACGTGCTGCGGGTTTGTTCTTATTATTTTTTTGTACATAAAGGGAAAAGTTTCTCCCCCTTAACATATTCTTAGTGAAATAAGAAAATAAATGATTAAAAATAAGTATAATGTGACGTTTGTCAGTAATAACATATTTGTTTTTGTGTGTTTTTGTATGATTACTAAAATGCGCTTGAAGCTATAAAGTAATCTCGATCTTGATACAGTTTTGGTATTGGCGCTGGTGTTCTTAATTTTGTTTTATTTATCAAGTCAACTTAATAATGATTTATTTACAATATACTCGTATACACAAAAGCAGAGGGTTATGCCCTTTAGGTTGAAATAATGTCTACAATAAAGGTATGCCTTCCTGGGGTGCCAAAGAATTCACATAAGTATAGCGTTAATTTTCGTTTAAAGATATGGGAATGACAAGCATCACACCCTGTATTTAATTTTTTTAAGTAATTCTGGTGGAATTTATTACAAAGAGGCACATAATTGTTGAGATTTATTTAATTTCTAATTAATATGTTGTAATGGTTCTTGTTTGTAATTTAAGACGTAGAAGGTAAGTAACATGTCGGTAAAGAATGTTTTGCGTTTTTACGAAAATCAATTACAAATTAATGCTTGGTAAGGAGACTTTATCAAAGTAACACATGTCCTAAACTTAAGAAATGAAGTTGTCAGTTCAAACCCCGTACGGACGTCACTGGTGAATATTTAAAAAAATCTTTTACGTGCTCCTTAAGTATGAAACGGGTGTGTACAAAATGTCATAAAAATATCTAAGTGTGATAAAAGATTATGATAAAAAAGTCACTTTTTCTTAAAACTTTAACACCCTGTAGCTCAAAAACTAAAAGATTTAGGATATATTTTGCTATAAACTTTTTTCCTTAAAATCACCCGAGGATTCGCACCCTGTATTATTGGCACTCAATT